CCCTCTGGGGAAGGTAGGGGAGTGTAATTTTGATATGCCAGACCGTGAGACTGTCTCTGCTGGCTAAGAAGGACTAGATCGCGTGAAGGATATATAGTGAATCCTGCCTTTGGCCACTTGGCTCCAGATGGAGAAAAATCAGGGGCTAACCTGACCTGATAAAAGGGAAGCAGCTTTATCCTAGGGACACAAAAGGGGATACTGGAGGGTCTCTGAAGGTTGCTTAATAAATAATTTGACTGGGCCGACAAGCCTTTTAATGGATCTCCCCCAGATCAGCAGAGCCCGTCTCGTAAGAGTGATGCCAGCGGGGTTTCCCTAGAGGAAGGTGCATAGGGGCTGTCTGCAAAGGTCAAGGGGGGTTGTCTCGGGTCCCAAACCACACAGTGGAGGATTCAAGTGAGGCTGCTACGGTCTGCAGATGTGCCCTTGGCTTGGGCAGGAGTCCTGCTGCGTTCCCAGGGTTTTGTGTCTGAATGGAGTGGAAGGAGTCAGCAGGAAGAGCTTGCAGAGTGAAAGGCAGTAAGACCAACCGCATCCTATATATACCAGAGAGCAGAGAAACCTCCTTACTGCCCATCGCAGGGGACGGTGGAGTTTGCAAATGGACCTGAAACTTTGTGAAGCAATTTCAGATCTACCCAGACGAGATGACAGAGATACCCCGGTACCTTGGATGTGCAATGCCAATAAAGCTGTTCGGTCTTGGCCAGCAACCCCCCGGCCTTCTCTAAACAAGCATACGCCATCCCTGTGCTCCTATATGAGAAGAAGCCCCTATATGAGATGGCTGTATGAGGAACCAAATCCTGAGTCCTTTACTCAATTTTTACACAGGCCGATTCTCAGGGAAATGTCATAGTTTCATAGTTTCACAGAAGTTAGGGGCTGGATCACCAGCTCCAGCTCTGCTGCACGGGGCAGGGAAGACTGCTGGGGTCATTTGCCTGAGGATGAAGGATGGTTGTTCAATACGTGGCCTTGGGCATCAGGATTTGAATTTGATCTCAGGTTCTGGCAGAGACTTTTGATTCGGTCACTTACAGCTCTCTTCTGCCTCTGCTCCCCATCCAGAAAACAGAAGCAATAATAGGGAGCATTCAAGAAGATCAGAAGTTTTTCTCTTGATTTTCCCCAGGTTTCCAGTTAAATTATTTCAGTGGCCAACAGACATTTCTGTGCCTCACAGGACTTGTACTTTGCTGCTCGTTACCCCTATTTTCTTCTCTGGTTAGGCACCTCGTGCTCCCGTGCAGTGCACTGGAGTCTCCCTTCATGGTAAGAGGGAGCCCTGTGGTATTGCTGCTTACAGCCATTATCGCAGATATAATCCAGCTGCAGATCCAGGTCCACACGGGAGGACGGAGACACAAGGAAAAAGCCACAGCTTCTGTTTTCAGCTGAAATATTTGGGTTTCTGGCTAAAACACTCGTGAAGAGCCTTTGGTTTTGGTCTTGCAGTAAGCCAACCCTTTTCAGTGAAAACATTGTTTGATCAAAAACTCATCTGTCCGTTGCAAAGCTATATCCTCAGAAAATCCTCAGCCAGCCCTGCGAATGGTACTTCCCCTGACTCGTGTCTATTTAGGCTGAAAGTTATCCTGGGGTGGGCCCATGTGTCTGAACGATGGTTACATGGAGGAGGGAGATAGATTATTTTTCTGTGCCATGGACGGAACAAGGAGCAATGGTCTTAAATGACAGCAAAGGAAATTGAAGTTAGATGCTGGAAAGAGCTTTCTCGATATGAGGGGGGTCAAGCACCCAGACCTGCTTGGAATAAGCTACCCACAGATGTGATAAAATCGTAATCCTTGGAGTGGATTAGATAGACCTGGGTTGGTTTACCCAGGGACAACCTGCCTTGATCATCACGCGTTGACCTAGACGACCTCCTGAGATCCCATCCAACCCCATTATTCCATGAGTCCAGAGCATTATGTGCCATGCTCACAGTTGCAGGTGCTACAATAATAATATAGTAATACCACAGCTATGGTATTATTATATACTATATAGAGTATTATTATATATTATGCAATCTAGAGAGTATTAGTCTATATTATATAGTATATTACTATAATAGTAATAGTCAGGCCTTCCCAGAATCTCAAAGTTTGTGTGATGGACCTAGGTTTGTGCTCAAAAGGGAACCAGCGGCTCAGACTATTTGCATTAAGTTTGTATTAGAAACCAGTAGATTCTTCCATCAGGATTAAGCTGAATCAGTGTGAAATCATCGTACACGAGTGCCATGGTAGTGACCCCTGCTTTGGGGCGCCTGCTTGAACGTTGGGTGGTTTGAGTCTCGTCCCGTGCCGTTTCAGAGGCCGGAAGGAGACCCTCCGCCGAATTCGTAGCATAGTTGGCTTGACTGGCTTCTCTCATGTGGCAGAGAAGCAAGATGCGATAAAGCAAATTACCCAGCAGGAACAGGCAGAGATTAAAGCAGACATTTCGTAGCGTTTATTTTTAAACTAGGGTAAGAAAATTGAGTTCTTCCTTTTTTGAGACTCATTTCTTGTCTAGCCATAGCAGTTGTAATTAGATGCATTTCAGCAGTGTCAGGCAGTTAATATATTTAATCAAATCATTCACATAATTTAGCATGGCTTTAGCTGGGAACAGCTATGCTTTTAGTGTATAAACTGACATGGAAGAAAGTTTGGCTTTTACCACCTCAAACTCATCAGGTGTTTGTTAAGGCATTAGGAAAATGCTAATTTTCTAATTACCCTGAGATGTGGAAATAATCTTGCTAGCCAGTCGCTGTGGATGCAGCTATGGCAGGAGCTGCCTCACTGGAGCTGGCAGTAAGGGAGGCGATGGCATTAATTTCTCTGAGGAACTTATGGCAAATATAAGAAAATAAGGAAAAAAGCAAAGACACATTGCTGGAGCGGGACCTGGTTGGTGAAAGGAGTCGGGACTCCTGATTTCTGTTCCCAGCTCTGCTACTGACCCAGTGTCACCGTGGGTTAATCTTCTGATCTCGGTGTCTCCGTTTCTTCTGCTTTAAATTTGGCTTAAAAACACTAGAAGTCTTGGACCTGTAAGAGCACTAATGAGCCTGAATTAATTCCTGTTTGTAAAGTGCTTCCAGACCCCTAGTGGTAAGTACACAGTGTTATTTCTGACGTCGCCAGCTAAAAAAGAAGCGTTCGAACTCAAATGGATAGCATTAATCACACATGGCAAGGTAGAGCCGAAGCCGCTCGATGTGTAATTTGACACTGGATTTGGAGCATAACGATGTAGATGAATTCATGCCATCCAGGCTCATCATTCATAGCCTGTGTGTCAGTGGCTGATGGAGTCCCCGAGCCGAGCCGAGCCGTCCTTCCCCGTCCCACCGAGACAAAACAGCCCCTTTTCCTTCTTCCGGTTCTGGGAACTGCTTACGGTTTAACAGCAGGTCCATAACCGTGAGCTTGAGAGTCATGGCCTAGGTTTCTGCAATGACATGTAGGGGTCATACAAGTTCATGCGCAAACGAGAGCTTGCACGAAGGGTTTTCAGCGTCCCACATCCCCCAGGGCAGCTGCAGTTAGAAACCTAATGGAGCAGCCCCCATGCAGTTAGCTACCGGGATCGACGCCTGGGGAGTGCGTTTGAGTCAGTCCAATATAAAGAACCAGCCACAAGCGATGTACGTTCTGGTCTGAACCCAGGCCCCGAGGTCTCTGCTACACGGACATCCAAGATGGAGAACTCTCCAAGTTCTTCTCTAGCTTACGTTGGACTCGATATAAAACATAGAAAGGATTTTTTTTCTCTCTCTCTCTCCTTCCAGTTGTTCTTAAGTCCCGGTTAGACATATGAAGAGAAAATTCCCACTCAAAGCCAGGCCCTGGGCAACAGGAAGGCTTGCATTTGTTCTGCAGGTTTCTTTCCCTGCCTGCTGTCTGTACCTGCAAGCTCGGCAGCTTCAAGAAAAATGACTTGTGCATTGTCAGTGCAACTCAAACCTGCAGCCGGCTTGTCTGGTGACTCCCATCCCCGTAAAGCCCGTGCAAAGGGTGTATAGTACATCCTGTGGCAGAGATGATCAGAGGCGTGGGGAGGTAATGGCTTTGCTCAAGCTGAGAGATGAAGGGCCATGGCACAGATGTGCACTGGGAGCCTTGCAAAGTCCCTCAACTTCTCTGTCATTTTTAATATAGGGGTAGTACTTTTCTGCCCCACAGCCAAGTTCCTGTATTTAAGCATCTAGATTCATAGATTCATAGATGTAGGGTCGGAAGGGACCTAAGTAGACCTTCAAGTCTGACTACGTGCCTGTCAAAGTGACAGGATTGAGGCGCTTCCATAAAGGCATTTGGGCACCTAACTTGTACGTAGCTGCCCATTTCTTTTGCATTCAATGGGAGTTGGATGCCTGAATGCCTCTCTGGATCCAGAGGTATAGGTTGTAGCCGTGTTGGTCTAAGGACGTAGGCACTCACGCTTCTTTGGGTAAATCTTTTATTAGACCAACTCAAATAGTTGCAAAAATTCTTCTTTGCAAGCTTTCAGGTCTCAATACCCCATCCAGGCCTCAGTGTGCAGGAAGCGCTTTAATAATCCTTCAAGGGAAGATAGTACAAGCAAAGCAGTCTGAATCCTCATCCCTGGCCACCTGGGCAGGCAGCAGATAAACATCGTGGCCAGGCTAGCGAATGCCCCCGCCTGCTAGCTAGCGCTCCATTGTCCCCAAACCAGGTGGGGACGTCACCCGTTGTGGGGCGCGTGCAGTCTGCACGGTCCCTGCCCTGCTGCGGGATCCAGCTGTTTGCGCCATGTAGCCCCGCGCGCGCTGCCGGCCGGGTCTGAATCCAGCCCCTTCTCTTCGGGCAGGCTCGCGGCGGAGAGGAGGTTGTAGTGCCATGGAGCTGTTGTCAGCAGCGTGACCTGTGGTTTCCCTGGCAGCCCTCTTCTGTATCGGGAACGGTCTGTTGTGCAGCCACAGAATAGAAGTAACCCTCTTGCATTTTCTCTCTCTTCTCTTTCAAAAAAAAAAGGGCTCGAGTGCCAGAGGCCAAAGCGTCAGAATTCAAGCGATGACATCGAGGTCCTCTCCACGGGGACCCCTCTCCAGCAAGAAAGCCCGGAGCTGTACCGGAAAGGGACCACCCCTTCAGACCTCACTCCCGATGACAGCCCCCTGCAAAGCTTCCCCGCCAGCCCCACCTCCACCCCGCCGCTGGGTCCCTCCTGCCGGAACAAGAGCGCCCATTTCTCCAGACAGGTCTCGGTGGACGAAGAGAGGGGTGGGGAGATCCAGATGTTGCTGGAGGGACGAGGCAGGGACTACTTAAGACCCAACAGCTGGAGCGAAGACAAAGCGGGTGGGACTCGTGGCATTAGAAGTGGGGCCCTGCGCAGTGGTCACCTGGGGTCCTCCTCCATCCCCGAAGACTACAGAGGCCGGAGCGGAGGACACAAACACATGGCCTCCAACCACAAGCAAAGAGAGAGGTGGACAGATTCCCCCGCCACAGTGTCTTGGACTTCCCACCATCGGCCCCACAACCACAGCTCAGGGAGCTCCAAGCTGCTTGAGCTGGACGAGGAGAAGATGAGCAATTACGAGATGGAGATGAAGCCCCTCATGAGGATGGATTCTTATATGCAAGAGATTCACACCCAAAAAAGACACTATAGCAAAGCCGGCCCCTGCAGGAGCCTGGCGGAGGACCACCGTGGGGAAGACCGGGGCTTCGGGGTTCAGAGATTGAGGTCTAAGTCCCAGAACAAAGAGAATTTCAGGCCAGCTTCCTCTGCCGAGCCGACAGTGCAGAAACTGGAAAACCTGAGGTTCGGTGACAAAGGGGAACCCCGGCTACTACGGTGGGACTTAACCTTCTCCCCGCCACAGAAATCCTTACCTGTTGCACTAGAGTCCGAGGAGGAGAACGGGGATGAGCTCAAATCCAGTACGGTAAGTGGGCAAGTCTCGTGTATTTAAACCTGGCTGAGGAAGTGGAGGCCTGGGTGAGCCCGAGCTGGTTCTGAACCATCGGTGCCAAATTGGCTCCCCCTGCCCCAAACACGCACACGTTCGTGCAGGAGGTGTTTGCTCCCCCTCCCTCATGGTACTAGGTAAGAAATAACCAT